AAGTAATGGTAAGGTAAATCGGATCCACCTCCACCAGTTGATCCAGGGTGGGACCCAAGCCAGCCGAAGATGGCAGGTTTAAATGTGCCCTGCTGCAGCGGACCATTGCTTCAATCAAAGTCTCCCAAGAACTCCTCATTAAGTAACCATTAACGAATGATTCATTAATACAGTACCCCCAGTCTGTTTACCAGTAACTAACCATCAGTTCCTCAATCACAGTCACTGAGGAACTACTCATTAACTAACCATTAACTATCTAGTAGGGGTGTAACGGTTCACAAACATTTCGGTTCGGTACGTACCTCGGTTTTTTGGTCACGGTTCGGTTCGGTACGTTTTCGGTACAGCAGAATTTTTTTTCACAAAACAAAACATATATATTTTTTTATTATTATTAAACTGTGAATAATGTATTCACTCAAATAAATACAAAATATAATAAAATAAATATTAAGGTGCAGCATTTCGATGAACTGAAATAATCTGTATTTGAACTTTACTGTAGGCTACTAGTACTCACAAAACATAAACTATTAGTTTTGGGTTTTTTATTTTTTATTAAACTGAATCTTCACTCAAAAAAATACAAAATAAAATAAAATAAACATTAAGGTGCAGCTTTTCGATGAACTGAAATAATCTGTATTTGAACTGTACTAGTTCCTAAGCAGCCAGTTTGACATTAGGACTTGCTTGTCATTGTATGTTCATGTTTTTTTAAAGAAAAATGAACTTGTCCACATTGCTTGCTGAAAGGGCAGATCTGCTGGCACTAACAATGTCTCCTGCTGTGGAGAACACCCTCTCGCTAGGGACAGAGGTAGCAGATACAGCCAGGTAGCACTTTGCTAACATGGCAACATAAGGATATTTGGCGTTTGTAATAGCTTTGGCTCGGTCTGAACTCTCTGCGAGTGGTGGAGGCTTAAATGCTAGTGGGAGTTGGGTTTGCACTTCAGTCTTTTTTCTTTTGGTACCGGTGATATTCACGTTCGGGTGATGCCTTTTCAAGAGTGTGCAAGTTTGATGTATTGCCAGCCGCGTAACCAATATTAGTTGAACAATGCCGACAAACAGCTTTGGTTCGGTCCACCTGTCTTTGTCCTTCATCCTTGTACGTAACTGCGAAACCAAAATGTTCCCAGACCGGAGACTTCAATGATGCTGGAGGATTTTCGAGCTCAACTTTATCTGCGTTCGCCATTAATTTTCGACAGTTCCTCAAATTACTGACTACATTTGAACGCATCCCTCTGACCAGCTCTCATAGTATGCCTCTCATCCAATGAAATGACTTGCTCGCTCTATGACGCGTTGAACCCAATGTGAGCAAATTACTCTGAATGCTGCGACACAGCACCTGAGATTACTTCCAAAAAGTTGTTCACGTTCTCAATTTTTTACGTTTAACGTTATATTCGTTCGGTACACTTCGGTACACACCTGTACCGAACCGAAGGGCCCGTACCGAATTATTTCGGTACGGGTACGTGTACCGTTACACCCCTACTATCTAGTAGTTCCTCAGTAACTAAGCACATTTTGTGTACCTTATTGTAAAGTGTTACCCGATATAATCATCCAGCAACTGTCCCAAAGATTCACCAGCTTAAATGCAACTGTGAACATGTTTGAGGCAATTCACCCCAACACACTACTGCAAGCAAAGGATGAGGATTTACACCAAGCTGCCCAGCGGCTTAGAGAGCACTACAGTCGGGACATCGCCGCCAGCTTCCCTGGCCAGCTGCTTTCTTTCAGAACCTGTTTCAGGGACCAAATACAAAAACTAAAATCTGTCGCGGATCTGGTAAAAATGCTCATTGTTTACTAGGGATGCTCCGATCGCCAATTTCGGGGCCGATCGCCGGAATCAGTATCGGCCGATACCGATCGCCGATCCGATCGAGTGGGCGGGGCCTAAATGGAAGATTTAAACATCACTTTAAATCTTCCATTTAAAGTGATGTTTAAACTCAGTTAATGGGGCTCATTCACTGGAGCTTCCACAAACAACAATCAACTTAATTATTACATTCAAATGATGTACATTATTCAAGTTTACATTCACTTTGGATAATAACACGGGAGAAATTAGCGTAAGCGCTCTCTTTTCCTCTCTCCCTCTTTCTCTCCCCCCTCTCTCCCTCTCCTGACAGCCTGTCAGTATCTCATGCAGCTCACTGATCCAGTAATGAGTGACCCGACAATGAAGAATAAATATATTTATAATAACTAGTTTAGCTTGTTCCAGAGGTAGATAAAATAGCTAAGTGTGTTAGGTCTAACTCTTACGGTACGTCCACACAGCAGCTTTTCGAAAATCTTGGAGCTGGGCGTGTCTGAAAGCTTGGGGATTTTTTGCGAGCAACGCGACCAACAACCAATCACATGAATCTCCCGCCCCCGACATACAAAGCAAAAAACCCCGGGGATTTTATGCGAGCAATATATATATATATATATAAACTCCCCAAACAGGCGAAAACCTACCAGTTTCACCCACTGTCTCTGCCACCTCCCTCCATGCCTGGTTCCTCCGGTTTGTATCCCGTTAATAGTTCTGGTCGTAAAGAACCGGGTGATTTGCTACCGTAATTTCTCGTTTGGAATATGAGGAAATGAACTGCGGTCTGGTTCTCCCTGTGTGTGTGTTTCGCTGCGCTTACCGGTCCGGCGGGCGGAGCTGCAGGATTTCTGCTTCACACACGTTGCATACCGCTATTTTACTGTCTTTTTCGGACACATTAAAATACTGCCAGACCGGTGAAGCCATTTTGGCGAACTTGTTTTGCCGCACACAGAGAAAAGTGTCATGTATTTTACGTCATGCTCTCGCGATCGGCATGTTTAGAGAGCACCGATCGATCGGTAGAGAGTGAGTATCGGCCGATATCGATCGGTGACCGATCGATCGGAGCATCCCTATTGTTTACAACCCAGCAGTAACATCTACATTCAGTGAGGTTTGCACAGCCTTCATCTTATTTCTGACTCTTCCTGTCACCATGGCAACCGCCAAGCGCTCTTTCTCCAAATTAAAACTCATCAAAAACTATTTGAGGAGCACGATGGGACATGAGAGACTGAGTGGACTGGCCTTGCTGTCCATCGAAAGTGACCAAGCCAAGAAATTGGACATACAGCGGATTGTGGATGAGTTCGCGGAGCGCAAGGCTCGCCGAGTACCCTTCAAGTAGTGGTGAGTACACTTCAAATTTAATTTGTACAGTAGCCTTCTTGTAAGTGAATGTATGGGCCGCCGTGCCAATTTTACACTGCTCTGCTCTCATGGTGGCTGCTGGCTGTCCATGGTGAATGGTGTGTCAGAAATGTAGTCATTTTATTAGGCTATGTTTTCGTTGTCCTTGTGGTTTGTTGGACTTTATGTCATGTTATATCATTATTATCTCTGATATATATTTTGTTTCTATACCCTTTGTAGAAACGAAATCTTAAATATTACACCTTTTCTTTAGTTACTTTTCTTTCAAACATTGTTTTAAATTGTAATCTTACTGACTGAGCGACTTTTTACGCACGAGCGTCAGATTACCACCCCGGACTCCCGATATTTTTGTCAAGCTTTATTGGGTTTAAAGGGCCCGGTCATGTGGCCCTGCCCGGGTCTGGTATGTGGGACTGGCTTCAGTAGAAGCTGCTGGGACTCCCAGCAGCTTCTACTGAAGCCTTCTGAGTAAATCGGCAGAACGCCGACACCTCCTCATTACTCCACCGCTCCCATGTTTTTTTTTTGTGTTGCCATAAGTTATTCTCTCTCCGTTGGTGTGCCGGGCTAATGCTAATAATGCTAATGCCAGCAAATACAATGGCGGCTTCACAACACTTTTCATAGTTTTACGGGGCGTGGTTTGCAATTCGCCGAGCCAATATAAATTGGTACTTTTTTCTCCCCAGGATAGTAACACCTCTCTAGCAGGCACTAACAATGGGGGTAAAAGTTCCCGGCATTAAGTACTCTTTTTGGTGTGAACGCAAAATACTAAACTAAATGGGAAAAGTACAGGGAAAACTACGGGGAAAAGTACTCGCTCGCGTGTGAACGCGCCTTATGAAACACTTTAACTGACAGGACTCAGGATCAACTGTCTCCTTCACTGGAGAACTGCGTTAAAACAGCTGATCACAACGTTCACACTCTGTGGTCACGAAGTACTCCACTAGCCCCCCCCCCCTGTCGACTTTCCTGAAGTACTCCCCCGTTGATAGAAATCAACACGTAATGAATTAAGACCCCACGGTTTAATGATTGATAGGTGTGTGGGCTGTCTTTCATTTTGACACACAGAAAAATGTTATAATAAACATACATACTGTATGTTAAATGGATATATCCGCCTTCTTTCATTTATCTTTCCATTCGCACAACAATATACATAAAGAAATTGCATATTTTGGACATAGTTCGAATGTTGATTCATCATGATTAATTAATTTTTAAGCTGTTATTAATCTGATTAAACATTTTAATCGTTTGACAGCCCTAATATATATATATTTGGGTCTTATTCCGGAATATCCGGGAAGGTACATGTTTATACTTTAAGAGCGTAGTGGACATATATAATCTGTCGGATGCTGTTCATTGAGTCTGAGGTGTCTCTTTGAACTAAAATAAAAAGCAACCACTTGATGGCAGTGTATCATATGTATCGGAATTCAAGATGGCGCCTGTGTCGGCTCGCCGCTCCACCAGCTCTCTGCTTTTAGCTATCCTGTTTATATTTTTATTTTATGTTTGTCAGAATGTCTCTGCTCTGTTATTTTATGATCGCCAAGCTCTCCTCCACCTCAGACCCTCACTGGAGCCTATATTACTGCCCGGACATGCTTCTGGCGGCCAGGGACCGTTCCCCCTGCCTCTGCTGTTGGATATCCCCACCTGCCTGCGCCGGCTGCCCTGCATCCCGCCTCGCCAAAAGCGCTTCAGACGACGGGGAAAGCGTGGTGGTGCACTGGTCCATCTTAAAACTCACATGACGGCTTCTTCCAGGACGTATCAACACCACGGACGCCACGGCCCTCCCGCTGCACGCCATGTGAGGGAGCGCTGGATTCGCTCCGTCTTCCCGGAGCTGCGGCTTCTGCTGAGCCCTCCTGCCAGACTGGCTGCTCCCGGCCCGCGAGGCGTTGAACACACACATCTCCGTCAGCTGAGACGCACTACACCTTCGACAAGCCCGGAGCAAAAACTTTGCATGGCTTTATTAAATGCTAGGTCAATAGCAAACAAGACGTTCCTGTTAAACGACTTCTTCACCTCTCGTGAACTGGATTTTATGTTTCTGACGGATACCTGGGTCCACGCTGGCGAGTATACACCGTTCTCTGAACTTCTTCCTCCTGACTGCAGTGGCGTTTTCTCCCGGAGGCCAAGGGAAGCCAGGCTTCCCCTGTTTTTTCGGATTGTAGTTATAATTTAAATAAATAAATAAAAACACTTTGTTTTGTTTCGATAATTCTCCTTTGCTGTGTGTTGCTGCCGGCCCGTCTCTCCCCCATTCTCATTGAGTATTTTACAAAGAGTGAAACAAACAGCGCCCCTCTAGATGTTATGGTGAAACAGTAGATTGCACTCTCTGTTGCGAGAGGAGGCCAGCCGAATCTGGCTTCCCTTGGTGAAAAAAAATGGAGGGATTGACCAATCAGATGAGGCTCACGTGATGCCCCTGCCAACCTGTGATTGGTCAGGGCCATGCCAAGGGAAGCCAGCCGCCTCTTGCTTCCCTTCAGAGGCGGCTGGCGGCTGGCGATTTGATTGGACACTGCCATCCAATCAAATCAACCCAAATCAACATCAGTTTTAATACTGTAACTGTCATCACCGCCGTTAGAAATTATCAAGCAAATGAAGCATTATGGAGGGAGGAGATTTTGCGTACTTAATCAAACATAACTTTACTAAACTTCCGCTACAGCAGCAACTAAAAATTAAATCAGATGACAGGCCAATGCCCGCACTCGAGCTGTGTGTACACAGAGGAAAAAGGGAGATAATCGGACGTTCAATGAGGACATTTATGTCTGCACGGAGTGGCTAACTGGAAGCGCTAAACTTCAGCGTCTATTTTGCTGGCCATGTCTTCTTTTTGACAAGGATTCGTGCTCCCTGAACAATCCTTGGGCAACTTCAGGATTCATCGACCTTGCCAACCTGTCACGGGCAATTGAGAGGCACGGTAAATCCAAAAATCACATAGATTGTGTGATTGTCTGCATACATTAATAAGTAAAATGCTTAAATTAATAAGGAGAGAGTTTTAGCTGGAGAGTGCGTGCGGACCTTTCGGTTAGATAACAGGCGTGTGCAAGTCCTGCATCTGTTTGATACAAATGTGTGTAAAATGATACCGGGCGCTGTAATCACTCATCTGGTTACGTTATTGACCACCACCCCCCCCCGCCCAAAAAATGGGCTTCCCCTACGCCACGCTACTGCCTGACTGTACATTCTTCAGCTCCCCCCGTACCACCGGCCTCGGTGGGGGCATTGCATCAGTGTTTAGAGCTAGCCTCCAATGCCGATTGCTTCACCCTGTAACTAGCTATGCTAGCTTTGAGTTGCAGCTCTTTGAACTGAACCCGGCCTCACCTATACTCTGCGCAGTCGTGTATCGTCCGCCAAAGTGCAATAAGGATTTTATAAATGACTTTTCTGACTTTCTGTCCGGGATCATGGTGAAATATGATCGTGTCTTGATTTCCGGAGATTTTAATATCCATGTGTGTTGCGAGTCCAAACCTCTGGTTAGGGACTTTTTAAATCTCCTTGATTATTTTGGTCTCACTCAGTCCGTGGCTGGCCCAACACACGAAAAAGGACACATTTTAGATTTAGTTTTATCGTTCGGACTGTCTGTATCTGTGGATGAAATCTGTGCAGCAACACATATCTCAGACCATTTTCCGGTTCTGTTTACAACCTCGATCCCCTCCGCAGGGGTCGAGTCGCGAGCCCCTGCGCGCCGTCTGCGTTTGATTAACCCCTTGACTGCCTCACAGTTTTCTGATGTTTTTAATGTTTCTCCGATCTGTAAATTAGAGATGAACTGTGCTTTTAGTGCTGATGAGCTTATCTCCATGTTTGACTCGATATGTACCCTGATACTGGACTCTGTTGCTCCTTTTACGCTTAGACGCACCAAAGTACTCTCAGAGCCGTGGCTCAATGACTGTACTCGTGCTCTCAGACGCGCTTGCAGGTGTGCAGAGAGAAAATGGAAAAAGGATAAACTCCATGTCTCCCTAGAAATCCTTCGTGCTTGTCTTTCCGACTACCAGACGGCAGTCAAAGCAGCCAAAACAGAGCACATTTCTCTGTTAATCTCTAAAAACAGCCAGAAACCTCAGGTTCTTTTTAATGTCATCAACTCGATCATAAATCCCTGTGATGTTTCTTTGGTTGTGCCATCTACTCTCTGTGATAGGTTTCTTACATTTTTTTAATGAAAAAGTATCTGCCCTTAGGCTAGCCCACACTAGTGCTACCCCAGATTCTGCTCCTTTTCTGTGCCCTGCTGTCCTCGACCACTTTGAGCCTGTATCCATCTCTTCTCTCTCGGATGTTGTCAAGCACCTGCGGCCGACAAACTGCACCTCAGACAGCATTCCCTCTCGCCTTCTCAGAGATGTTTTTGATTCAGTTGGAGCAAGTATTTTATTACTCATAAACACCTCTCTTACCTCAGGTTGCGTCCCAGCTGCCTTCAAACATGCTGTGGTCAAGCCACTGCTAAAAAAGAAAAATCTCGACCCCTCAATTCCCGCCAATTTTAGGCCCATCTCCCAGCTACCTTTTTTTATCCAAAGCCCTGGAGCGAGTAGTCTACGCCCAGCTGCAGTCTTTTTTAATCTCACATGGAATCCATGAAAAGTTTCAGTCTGGCTTCAAACCAATGCACAGCACTGAAACAGCCCTTTTAAGAGTTTTTAACGATCTGCTCCTAGCCGCCGACTCAGGTAGCCCAGCTGTCCTGGTGCTATTAGACCTAACAGCTGCCTTCGACACTGTGGACCATAGCATCCTGTTGTCACGGCTTGAACAGTCCGCTGGCATCACAGGCTCTGCCCTTGCATGGTTCAGGTCCTACCTGACAGACCGCAGTTTTTCAGTGCAGCTAGGTGCCTTCTCCTCTGCAAAGGCCCCTCTTACTTGTGGGGTTCCCCAAGGCTCTATCCTGGGCCCCATCCTATTTTTATTGTATATACTGCCCCTAGGCTCAATCCTCACAAAACGTAACATTCCCTTCCACTGCTACGCTGACGATGTTCAGATTTATCTGCCTCTCAAAGAAAATGACAAACACTCACTACAGCAGTTGATGGATTGCCTGACAGAAATGAAGTCCTGGCTGAGCAGACATTTTCTTAACCTTAACGAGAGCAAGACTGAGGTCATCTTTTTTGGACCCCAACCTCCAGCCTCTTCTGTTGACATTCTGGGTCCTCTTAAAACAAACATCCTCCCCTCTGTCATGAATCTTGGAGTGACTTTTACTAACACTTTTAAATTCGACAAGCAGGTCAGCAGCGTAGTGAAATCCTGCTTTTTTAAATTAAGAGTATTGGCCAAAACCAAGTATTTTTTATCTTTTAAAGACCTGGAGAGGGTTATCAACGCCTTTGTGACCTCGAGACTCGATTATTGCAACGCTCTATACGTGGGTATGGACCAGGCCTCAATTAAACGCCTGCAGCTAGTGCAGAACGCAGCGGCACGTCTCCTCACTGGCCACAAAAAGTGTGACCACATCACCCCTCACTACACTGGCTTCCAATTCTGTTCCGAATTGATTTTAAAATCCTTTTATTTGTTTTTAAAGCACTAAATGGGCTGGCTCCGGCCTATATAGCTGAACTCCTCCAGCGCTACACCCCAGCCAGAGCGTTAAGGTCTGCTGACCAGCTGCTACTGGTAGTGCCTTAAACCAGGCTAAAAACCAGAGGGCACCGAGCCTTCGCGGCGGCTGGCCCTAGGCTCTGGAACACTCTGCCCCTCCATGTGAGGTCGGCCCAGACCCTAGGGGTTTTTAAATCTAAACTAAAAACTCACTTCTTCACCCTGGCCTTCTAATCAGAGCAGAGCACGACTCATGACACTTCCCTGTGTTTGATTTTTATATTTGATGTTGTAATTTATTGTCTTCTGTTTACATCGGTAGGAATGTGTTATTTATTATCTGCATGTGCAGCACTTTGGCTCGACCGAAAATCGTTTTTAAATGTGCTATAGAAATAAGATTTGATTTGATTTGATCTACTCCGATTGAGTCTGTAACTTTATAACTTTAATATGAGGATAGGTTTTTATGTCAGTGGTTGATAATTACACTGTTATTAAAGTAGCACCTCATTGTAGCATATCAATTATTTTCCTAGAGTTGCAGTCACTATTTGTTACATTGACACCACAGGTACAGCATGACCATCCACTTAAGACTTGAGTGCTTTTTATTCGTCATTGAATCATGAAACGTGTTGTTTTATGTTGAATAATGTTTCCTTCTATATGATTTTAGAATGTGCATTTTAGCCACATGCTGTGTTCACTTGTTTAGAGCGTGTTATAGAGATATTTAAATGCCCATCACCTTTCTGTGTGATATGTGTCTTACCTCATATTTATGATGGCAGTGTAACTGTTATTTGCCTTTATACATATCTGCTTTTCAAGCTATGTTTGAATGTTGGCCTTATATGGTAAAAATATGGTTTCTTAAAAATAATTAAATAATTGCCTTTTGGAAGACTGTTATCACCCCCTGATGATGTTTTTATCTGTTTTAACGACCTTTTAGAGCAGGGGTGCCCAACCAGTCGATCGCGATCGACCGGTCGATCGCGGGGAGATTCCCAGTCGATCGCGAGATGTGTCTAAAAATAGAACAACAATATTCTGTTTTATCGTTAATGTCCTATAACATAATCTTCCTGTGCCAGAATAATGCACTTGAACGCATCAAAGCTTTGTGATTGGCCGGCGTGACCCCATGTGTCGGGGCGTGGCTGGTGGGCAGTGGGCAGTGGGCAGTATTTCGCTGACATTGTCCGTGTCAACAGGAGTGACAGTCCGCACACACACAAGACCGCAATTATGGCAGAAGCAAAAGAGCCCAAAATATATCATTTTCACTCCGAGTGGGAGGATGATTATTTGTATCTATTCCAATTCAAACTCCATCTGTCATCTGCAATGCGAGCGTGGCTTTATCGAAGAAGGGTAATTTAGGAGCGGCATTTTCAAAACAGTGCACAAACGCTACGAGACGGAACTCCCTCCTAATTCTGCCCTACGCTCCCAAAAGGGGAGGGGCCTGAAAGGACAGCTAAATGCACAGCAGTCCATTTTCACCAGGCCCAACAACAAGAGCAAGGCTGCTACCATAGCTTCTTATCGTGTCAGTCACGTTCTTGCGAAACACATGAAGTCTTTCAAAGATGGTGAAGTTGTGAAAGAAGCATTCCTGGAGGCTGCCGACGCGCTTTTGGGGACAGTAAACAACAACAATAACAGTAGCATTTCAACAGGTTTTTGATATAATAAAAACTCAAGTTGGATACTGTTATTAATCAGCTGTGAGTTTTAGTTTGTTTGAACTTAGTCATTATAATTATTGTACAAAATGGTATAAGAATGCAAACTTAAATTGATTATAGTCTATTATCAATTCAGGTTAAGAAACTGTTGCTTGCATCCTATTCAATTCAAAACCTTTATTTATCCAGGTAAAATCCCATTGAGATCAATGATCTCTTTTTCAAGGGAGACCTGCAGCAGTAGGTTCCACAAGAAGACATAAACAACAGAACAACAAAAGGACATCATACAGCAAAATGTACAGGGATTACAATTTACATATTTAACCACAAGTACAGGTACCAACAGCATCTGATTTTGTAGCATCTAACCGAGCTTTAAAAACATGTAGTGGTACTAGCTTGGTAATTTTCCATTCTTTTTGCAGACTGTTCCATGTTAGTGGAGCTGCACATCTAAAAGCTTTCTTCCCTAAGACAGTCCTAGCACTTGGCACATTTAATAAAACCACAGCATGCGATCTCAGGCAATAAGTACGTTCAATTCGCAGAGAGATCAGGGAGCAGATATAAGATGGTAGTTTATCCAACATGGCTTTGTAAATGAAAAAGTACCAGTGACTGAGCCTCCGTACAGTAAGTGATGGCATAACCGCCTTGGTATACAGGGTACAGTGATGCGTAAGTGCTTTACAATTTGTCAAAAATCTCAGTGCACTGTGATACGCAGCATCTAACTTGCTCAGGTAATTGGCAGGTGCATTCATATATAACAAATCACCATAATCCAGCACAGGTAAAAAGGTCACAGTGACTAGCCTTTTCCTGGCCTCAAGCGAGAAACAGGACTTATTTCTGTAAAAGAAACCTAGCCTAACCCTCAGCTTTTTAAGCAGGTTATTGACATGAAGTTTAAAAGTGAGACAGTCATCAAGCCAGATACCCAAGTATTTGTAACAGGTAACCACTTCAAGTTGTATTTCTTGCGTAGTTACAATATCCAAAGCAGTGTCTGGTGTATTTTTAGCTTTAGCTTTAGAAAAGAGCATTACCTTGGTTTTATCCACATTTAAAAGAAGCTTAAGTTCAGAGAGCTGAGCCTGAATAATGTTAAAAACAGCCTGTAATTTAACAACAGCCTCGTTAATCGAGGGACCTGCACAGTACATAACGGTATCGTCCGCATAAAAATGTAAGGTTGCTCCTTCGACATTTTCACCTAAACTATTAATATAGATAGAGAATAATAGCGGACCTAAAACTGAACCTTGTGGTACACCATTAGTGATGTTTAACCACTCAGAAGACAGCCCATCAAACTGAACACATTGGGATCTTTCAGAGAGGTAGTTTACAAACCACCCTACTGCATGGCTGGACATGCCTATACTGACCAGCCTTTGCTTCAAAATGCAATGATCGACAGTATCAAAAGCTTTGGATAGGTCAACAAATAGAGCTGCACAACTCTGCTTATTATCTAAAATATTAATATTTAATATCTATTAAAGGCATTTATTTTTATACTCTACTAAAATGCAACAAAAAAGGGTTTGATTCTATTAATTTTGTCTTATTTATTGCACGTTGGCAGCAGATTCCTGTGTAGCTTCAGATCTGAGTTGTCTTATTAGTAAGCCTAATTTATACTTTTGAAGCAACACTATTTTTTATATAATGGCAAAGAAAGGGTTCAGAGTTTTTCTTTTTGTCCTGTGTCATATGTGGCAGCACTGTACAATGTTTCTTGAAAACATTACCCACTGTAGTAGCCTATGTGACGTGTGAATAAACTCCAACTCTGTATCAACAACACTGTTGTGTAACTTCAGTTAAATACTTGCATGTGTGTAGATTAGAAAGAGCCGAGGTAAGATAAAGGATCTGCATTATTTTATGAGGTATTAATCGTACAAAGGTCAGTTTTATACAAGTAGAAGTGTGTATTTACTAGTGCTGTAGCGACTTCAAAATATCGTCGACGACATATTTCCGCGTCGACGCGTCGCTACACACACGTGGGTCACCCAAAGCAACAAGCAGTTCGCAATCGCACTTCAAACACAATGGAGACTGAAACGGCTACCACCTCCTCCTCACAGGATTGCGCACGAAGCCCCCAAACGAAAACATCTCGCCCTAGGTCTTCAAAAGCATGGGAATATTTTAAAGTTAGTCCAAAACGCAAAGATATTTATGTATTTATATCTCACTGAGACTGCTGCATAGCCTAGCAGAAGCAGCAGCTAGCTGTGGTGGCTACCATTAGCAGCTAGCATTTGCTCTCCGATTTTGACATAAAATGGAATTATGGATTATAAATTCAATCATTTTTTTACGTTAAAAACCTATGGATTAACCGATTCAGCCGCGTTTTTTCTCATTTTATTGCCATTGAACACGTCTTTTGATCAGATTACGGTGGTGAGACGATCTCCCGAGAAGCTCTGTGAAGGTACGTGTTGTGATGAGTGTATTTGCTTCCCCTGTCGCGAGTCCGGATCACTCAGTGATGATACTATATACCTACATAATCTGTGGAGTCTCAGCTTTAATCGGATATATTGTATGTGCAGCTACGATAAGTAATAAGGGTACTTTTATCTTGAGTTCTGTGCCAATGTCCGTTAGCATTTTTCGCTCAGGGGTCATTTAGATGCTTCTTATGAGACTTGTGTTTTGTTTTGGTAAACATGGTTTGTATCGTCAGTTAGCTGAGATTATTTCCGTTAATCTGGTATAACACATTAATAGGTTCTTAAATATTAAGATCCCCTGAGACACAGTATCGTGAAAAAAATTTTTTTTACATTACGTTTTTTTTACATTACATTTTTTATGAAATGAACAACAGAAAAATAATCGTTAGATTAGTCGACTAATCGATCAAATAATCGCCCGATTAATCGTTTTCAAAATAATCGTTTCCCCCAGCACTAGTATTTACCTGGTAGTAGGCTGTCAGTAACTACGCCTCTCTATTTGGACTGGTAGATCTCGGCAGACTGGCAACTTTAAAAGTAGCTCTCGGTTCAAAAAAGGTTGGGCACCCCTGTTTTAGAGCGTCCTGAACCACACAAAAAACACCCATCATCAGATTTCCAGTGATGAACTTGAGGAAATGTGCGCAGTTTCCTGCTTCCAGGGGCACGTGACCTTTGCCCTTTTTAAAAACTCTTCCTGCTATTGTGCCATGTGTGGACGAACACCCCCTTTTCCTTTTTCTGCCTCCTTATCATTTAAACTGTTGAAAGTGACACATTCCAGATGGACAGCAATGGAAGTAAATGTAATAAAAACTGTGAGAAGGGAGATAACTAAGTGCAAGAGCAGCAACATGTCTCTTTAGCAAAATACATTTAGGCTTAAAAACATTCACGTCCCGAAAGCTTGTTTCTGATCTTTGTGATAAAGTGCAAGCTCAGGTTTTGCAGCTTACATGCAAACAGTGTTTTATGAAGTTTTATTATATGTTACAGCAAATTTAGACTACAGCAGCATCCTGAAACAGATAAATAAGAATTAAGTAATGATTTATCTGTTGAAAATTAAACACAAGATGTTGATGAGGATTATCTGGCACGATCAGCTTTGTTTTCACTAGTGCTGTCAAAATTATCGCGTTAACGGCGGTAATTAATTTTTTGAATTAATTGTGTTAAAATATTTAACTTATTTAACGCATGTGCAGAATGGCCCGCCCCATACCTGCCAACAGTGGCAGCGCCAGGGTACGGCTGGGGTAGACTACACCCATACCAAGAAATGGCTTAGCCCCACCATGAAAAATGATGTTAAAGTAAGCAAAATAAAGACTGCCAACTCGCGCGTAGTAAATTGCACAGACAGCAGTTAGTAAGATTGATTTCAGTAGCCACGGTTTTGAAAACTTTTGTCACGTAGTGATCGTCTTCTCAATAGAACATCTTTGATAACGGCGTGGTGTTGTTGCAGGAAGTCCCGACGGAGAATACTTTTGCTGTAGTACAGGGGTGCACATAACTGGTACGCAGGTTATGTGCGTAATCTGAAATGCGTACCGTCACTTGTGTCACAAAGCGCATTTGCGTACCGACGTACTTGTGAAGCTTTTCCAGAAGGCGGTTAGATCACCGGACGACAGAGTCGGTCTCCGTGTGCACAGACAGGGCTGCTGTTAACGTCGGTCTGTACAACGGAATTGTGCCAAAACTACGCCAACCGGCTGCGGAGGGAGACTCCCCCCCTTCACTGGAAAACTGCGCTAAAACAGCTGATCGTTCACACTCTGTGGTCACTCCACTAGCCGCCGCCGCCGCCCCCCCCTCTGTCGACTTTCCTGAAGTATTCCCCCGTTGATAGAAATCAACACGTAATGTTTTAAGACCCCACGGTTTGATGATTGATAGGTGTGTGGGTTGTCTTTCATTTCGACACGCAGATATTTTTTATAATAAACATAGATACTGTATGTTAAATGGATATATCCACCTTCTTTCATTTATCTTTCCATTCCCACAACAATATACATAAATAAATGGCATATTTTGGACATAGTTCGAATGGTGATTAATCATGATTAATTAATTTTTAAGCTGTGATTAATCTGATTAAAAATTGTAATCGTTTGACAGCCCTAGTTTTCACACATTCCTGCTGTGGCACGGTTATTCTGTGCCAGGAGACCTTGGAGACTGCCATGAGTTCTGTGAGAGTTGAGCAGCTTTAAACAACAACAAAAAAGCACTTCAAACATTTCCTGCCTTCCTCTGTGATCAGATACATGGTAAGAAAACAAAAACATAACAGGAAATGGATTATGAAAGTGAGGCTGTAACAAACATCACAATGAGTCTGACCAAAGAGATGATCTGATGATCTCCATTCAGTTCTGTCAAATCTTTATAGAAAACGTCTAGTGAAGTTTTCTCATCTCAGCTTCTTTTTTTATTTATGATCCAACATCGGACTGGCTGGTGCTGGCGTTACTTAACTTGCGTTGCTTCCCCGGGTCTCCCCCTCCTCCGTTGGGAGCGTTGGTCCCGGCTCCCAGCTGGTTCCCGGCTCCATCTCTGGGTAACTGGCTCAGCACCGTGTTGACCAGGTTGTCTCGGAAGCTCTTGCTGAGGAAGTTGTAGAGGATGGGGTTTGCCACGCAGTGAAAAAGAGACAGGCTTTGCACCACGCTGAACGAGAAGTACAGCACCCTGTCCGTGTTGCAGCTGAAGATGTCGGGGTCGATGTGGTGCGCGATCATCAGGAACACGACAAAGTGGTAGGGCAACCAGCACAGGACGAACACCAGGGAGTAAACGTGAACCAGCCACACGTCCCGCCGGCCCTGAACATCCGGCGCCGTCCGAACCGCACGAGCGATCAGCACGTTGCAGGTGATGATGACGGCGGCGGGGCCCAAGAACTGGAAGACCAGGCAGAGGAAACTCAAGGTGACAAACCACTCTGTGAAGTTGTGTTCAGGCACAAAGTAGCAGCCCGGCTCGTTCCACTCCAGAAGATCCACGTGGACGTTCTCCGGCAGCGCCAGGAACAAGGAGAGCACCCAAAGGCCTCCGCAGAGCACCCATCGGCGGCGGCCCAGCACGGGGAAGAAGGCAGGAAACGAGGGTCTGGTCAGGGACAGATAACGCTCTGCGGTCATGAGGGCCAGGAAGAAGGAGCTGCTGAAGAAGTTGACCGTGTAGACGAAGTAGGTCACCTTGCAGAGGAAGCGACCCCACAGCCAGACATTGTTCATGGTCACCTCCATCATGAAGAACGGCAGGGTCACGATCACCATGAGGTCCGACAGGCTCACGTTGAGGATGCAGAACAGGACCCCGTTGGCAGAGTGGCGTCGGCGCCAGTTGACCCAGATGACCAGCACGTTCTCCAGCAGGCCCACCATGAAGATGAAAAGGTAGATGAGGAAGTGGGCGATGCGCCGGTAGTCTCTGGCAGAATCCAGGTCAATGGTGCAGTGGTCGAACAATTCCAGCGTGGCGTTGTGCTCGTGAGCGCTCATGGTCTGGTGTGAAAAGCAGAGGGAAAACTGTTTCATATAACTGGAAATTGTTCAGTTTTATTCTTGGGTTAATCTGATTATGTTACACAACAGAAGCTCAGGAGGAGGGTGGGAGACGTGCTGGGTTGGAATATTACAAAAAGTAGTAGAGAGTCGGATATTAAAGCCTCAACATATGAGAAGAAGCAAAAAACGACAAATGGAAGTTATAAATGTCTCACTTTGAGGTGCTGTGAGTAAATATTTGTTTTAGTTTATAAGTTATACTTGATGACTCATTGCACATTTTGTCATTAAAAGGAGCAGTGGGTTGGATTTGGCGACATCTGGTGTTTTGGTTGCAGATTTCAGCCGAACTGAATAAAGGCTAATCCGTCCCTTTGAGAGACCGTTGTATCTTTCACCAACTTTACCTAGTATAAAGGCCATCCCAGACATAGCAATATTTTAAAAGCAATACATCTCAGGAGGCGACTGGTGTTACCGCAGCTTTACAAGCATGTCGGAGAACAACTTCAGGTAGCATTAAAGCGTATTGCTGGGTTGGAATATTACAAAAAGTAGTAGAGAGTCGGATATTAAAGCCTCAACATATGAGAAGAAGCAAAAACGTCAAATGGAAGTTATAAATGTCTCACTTTGAGGTGCTGTGAGTAAATATATGGTTTAATATTTTAAAAGCAATACATCTCAGGAGGCGGCTGCTGTTACCGCAGCTTTACAAGCATGTCGGAGAACAACTTCAGGTAACATTAAAGCGTGAAATACACTGTCTAGAGAGCATTTGATTTGTCCTTTCTAAACCAATGTAGGAACATGGTGGTGCAACATGTATTCAGACTCCATGATGAGGACCCTTTCCCCTATCTTTATATTATACACTAATATAAACATAGTTCTGTATATTTTATTACATTTCTGCGTATTGTTCCCCGAAATACTGCACGATGGCCCTTTAAAAAGTAGACTACTGCATATATTTAGCAACACTGTTGTACTCACAAAGGACTAAATATCAAGACATTTTTTATTACTGTAGTGTACATGCATTTTTTCTCTCTAAAAAAAAAACGCCTACATTACCCATAATGCCACTAACAGTCTGATGTCTAAATGGTAACCCTCGATTTGAAAAACTCTTGCAATATGTGTAGGCTTGAATAGCTAAAGTTTATGGCAAGGCGATTCAGCTTTTATTCATTTCTGGAGGATATCAGAAAATCTATAGTAAGAATGCATATTCTTGATATCAAAAATTAAATTCTTACTAGTAATAATGTGTATTCTTGATATCAGAAATGTGGTTTTATCTAGTTGTAATGTGTATTCTTGATATCAGAATTGCGGTTTTAACTAGTGAGATTTGCATCGTTTTTCTCATTCATTTCAATGGGAGTTGGAAATTAGTCCAAATTCCAATTTCTGATATCAGTAATTCATTTGTTGATATCAGAAATACAATTTGAACTAGTTAAAAATACTTTTTTGACATCAGGAATTAAATTGCTACTAGTTATAATTACATTTTTTATTTATAAATAGTTACAATTGAATTCCTGATATCAAAAAAAGGATTTTGAACTAGTTCAAATTGTATTTCTGATGTCAAAAATGTGCATTTCGACTAGTTCAAATTGAATTCTTGATATCAGAAATTTGTATTTTTACTAGTTCAAATGTAATTGTAACTAGTAACAAATGAATTACTGATATCAGAAATTGAAATGAATGAGAAAAATGATGCAAATCTCACTAGATATAACCGCATTTCTGATATCAAGAATACACATTAGAACTAGTTACAATTGAATTTCTGATATCAAGAATTTGCATTCGAACTATTTCAAATTATATTTTTGATATCAGAAATGAACATTATTACTAGTAAGAATTGCATTTTTGATATCAAGAATTCGCATTCTTACTAGTAAGAAGTGATTTTTTTATATCCCCCAGAAATGAATAAAAGCTAAATCGGCTTGCCATAAAAGTTAGACCTGGACCTAGGCTTTCCCTTTTATTTAGAAAATGTATGTTGGAAACAAGTTGTTACATCACAAAAAGAAATATAATTGGACTCTACTGTACCTTGTTGTGATGAGGCGCTTTGTGTAGATGAAGAGGGTTAGGGTGAGGGTCCCTCCTGAGGCCTCGCTGTGTTTCTGAGTGAAGCCTGAAGCCACCAGATGACTCCTTCCAGCTCTGATGTTAACAGATATCTGAGCAATCAAGCAGCAGGAGCTTCTACCCTCCCATTTCTCATTAACACACACACACACACACTAACACTCACACACACTTGACAGGACATCCTCAGTTGGTAATGGGGAGTGGTGTAGAAATCCAGGAACGCCTACACAGGTTTTATGCAATAAACATGTGTTTCAAAATGATTATTCAACACTCATGTGAGAATAGGACATAGAAACTTGGGTGTTGCCATTTTCTGCTGCTTCTCGTCACTATTGAATTTAATTCCTTTATTCAAATTTACAAGCATACTGTAAATTATGTTGTTCTTAATTGTATTGCTCATAAGTTAAAAAGAAATTGGTAACACTTTATTAAGGTACACAAATTAACCATCAACTGGTTGTTAATTAGCATACATATTAGCAGTATATTTGCGCTTTATTAGTCATTATAAAACACTTATTAATGCCTTATTCTGCATGGCCATATTCTACAAGAAATAAGCCATTAGTTGAGAGCAGTGTTGGGTGTAACGCGTTACAAAAGTAACGGAGTTACAGTAATATATTACTTTTTGCTGTAACAAAGTAATGTAACGCATTACTAATGAAATGTGGGTAATATATTACCCGTTACAATGCTCATTAACGCAGTTACAACACATTTCAACTCGAAATTAAATGGTGTTTTGTTTTTTAAGAATGTACTACTAACATAGCGAGACATAGGTTCGGGATCTTCGGGGCAGTTGAATGTTATGCACCCTCTATTCAAAAAAGAGAACGGAGCGAAAAATACAAACAACGTGACCTGCTCCGCTGCGCGTGCATAATTTCCAAAGTGCTTCCACAGCAGTGACACATCTGTGGATAATCATTTATACGAAAATAGTTAAAGCAACCATCACTAAACGCCAGCAACACTGCATCTACTGCAGACAGTAGCAACAGGTCAGATGGGGACATCACGTTACCCTCCATTGTGGACACTAGCTTACTCCCGCCCAGAGGTTGCGCTAGACTTTTTCGCTGCCCGTCATTTTGACGGACAGGATCGTAAAACTTCCGTCAAAATCCAGAATTACCCGTCGGCCTTTACACAACTCTGACGAGGGGGGGGAGGGGAAGCATGCTCGTGAACTGTCAACGGGGGGGAGGGACAGTTCACATGCGCCGTGTTATGCATGGCTGCTGCACCTCGTGGGAGCGTGCACAGCGTAAAGCCAAAACTCACAGACATTTCAATGATTTGTACGGCACAGTTAGGTTTGAAAACGGTATGATTTCCTTTTTGGAGGGCAAACACCGGAGCCTCGCTGCGGGGAAACTTTGGTGCTGTTCCGAATTTGTTCTAATCTGTCAAAATGACGGACTGCTTTCAGATTTGTCTGTCATTGTTAAAAAAAATCCGTCATAGACGGAAAATATTCGGTTAACGCGACCTCTGCTCCTGCCTGACTCGCCGCCCTCGCCCCCGGAGCAGCAGTCTTCGTCGCCCGAAACTACGCCGCCCCTCTGTGGCCTGCAGGTGCCAGGATACCACGGCAAAACAGAGCCTGCCCAGGTATATCTAAACAAGTACCCGCCAGTACAGTAGGGTAAGGCGGTCATTTTGCAGCTCGTGGTATAAAAATAGACAAGGGCTAGAATATTCATGTGAAAATAGTGCCATATTCTGCCATGCCTGTAGAAATGTTGGATCACAAATAATGCATACAATAGCACAGATGCCTTCACCACGAATGGCTACAAAAATATCTCATATCCCAAGCTTATCAACAAGCTGATGTTGCAGCTGAAATGTTCTCCAGGTCACAAAGTCAACCTCACATGATGATGTGATACCAGTTTTCAAGCACAGCAAATATTCTCTTCCCAGAGTATATGATGGGATCAAAGTGATGATTTAGTACATGGTTTTAATAATACTTTTGCTTTTCAATGTTTGCCATTTCAAACCATGAGCTGGTTCAAATAATATTTGCCTTGATTTACATTATGTTCTTATTTGTTTTATCAGTACAGTTTTTAAGCTTTTGTGCATTTCTTTGCCGTAGTCCACTTTGGACTATATGAGATATTTCAGGATTGCACTTTTAATTTACTTGAAATGTTCTGTGATGCCCCTGTGGGTGCATCAGTAGATAGGGTGTGGCTGTTCTGTCTGTGCTGCATTGGCTCCAGTGATTGCACCGATTGCAGTAACTCAGGGCACCTGGGTCTGGTGCTCTGCAGCTATCTTAAAGCCTCTCTGCTCCTGTCTGCTCTCTCGCTCTGTTTTCCTGCTGGCACCCGGCTCTGATGAGTATAACCAATGTGTTGAATTGACCAGTGTTGTGCAAATAAACACCTTTACCTACCCGTTGACATGTTGTGTCTCCTTTTTGTTGTGGCCTTTTGAGCCAGGTCGCAACAAATGGGGGCTCGTCCAACGGGTTATTTATTTAAAAAGTTTGTGTAGTGCTCATTGAGCAGCTGATTCATTGTTGTGGTCCAGCTGTGTGCTGGCTCTGCGCTGCTATTTGGGGGACACATCATGTCTTTTGGGTTTCAGGATGCTTTAGTGTGTGACATGGCATCAGGTTTTGTGTGCCAATCAGAAGGTAAGATATTGCTGTTTGTTACGCTTTTGTAAAAGAGATTTTCCCCGCTAGGCTTAAGTGGCGTTTCCCCTTGGGTTCCGTCTGTTTGTTTTTTTCATAGTGTTGTGGCGACGTGGTTGGTGTCAGCTGTTTTCGGACAGCTGTCTCGGGGGCACATCCGCGTGATTTCTTGGTGTTACCTGCGTGCAGGTCGCTCCATAAATCCGCCGGGTTCCAGTGCGTAATTACCCGCCGCAAGCCACATGAAGACTAGGTGAGATTAGGAAGATTTTGGTAAGGCAGTTAGGGGGGAATTCTCTGTTGGGTTTTGTCTTTTCGCCCAGGCGTGTTGACAGTTGAGTACTTTGCTTTCTGATTGGGTATAGGCAATATATTATGGCTTCTTTGTCAGCGTTTGTGGATGCGCCCTCAGTATCTTTCTTGGATGGTTGCCAGAAGGCGCAGTTGATCGAAATAGCAGAGCATTATGAAATTGCTGTTGTAGGGAGCAAGCGGAAACATGACATTAAAGCTGTCATCGTGTCATCTTTGTTTGAGCGGGGAGTGTTACAGAAGAGTGAGTCTGGTGTGGCAGGGGTCGGGCCAGTAGTGGTTCAGACAGCTGGTTTGACATTCGAACAGCAAAAGGAGCTTTTGGCCATGCGGTTTAATCAGGAGAGATTGCAGTTGGAGATGAAGTTGGAGCAGGAGAGATTGCAGTTGGAGTTGAAGTTGGAGCAGGAGAAGTTGCAGTTGGAGATGAGGGGTCAGCAGCAGGAGGTAGAGAAGCGTTTAGAGGTGGAGAAGGTGCTGGAGGTGGAAAAGATTAAATGTGAGGTGGAACATGCTAGATTACGGCTGATGGGAGAGGGCAAGTTTTCTCCAGGGGAGGATGGTGGTGCTAGGTTAGCATCAGGCAGTGGCGATATAATTTCTTACTTGCGATTAGTGCCAAAGTTCAATGAGCGTGACCCGGACATTTTTTTCACTCTATTTGAACACATAGCAGAGGCAAGAAACTGGTCAGATTCGGACAGAGTGCTGTTACTTCAGTGTGTACTCACTGGGCGAGCACAGGAAGCCTATTCAGCTATTTGTGGCGAAAATACTTTGGACTATGATAGAGTAAAATCAGCGGTGTTGAAATCTTACGAACTGGTTCCTGAAGCGTATCGTCAAAGGTTCAGAAGTGGGGTCAAGGGAGATAAGCAGACACATGTGGAGTTAATCCGTGATTTAACTTCTCATTTTCAGCGGTGGTGCGCGGCAGCAAAGGTTGCAAGTTTTGACGGTCTTTGTGAGCTCATTGTCTTGGAACAATTTAAAAACATTCTCCCTCAGCGTGTGGCCACATATGTGAATGAACAGAAACCTCCCATCGCGTTTAGAGCTGCTGAATTAGCGGACGATTTTGTGTTGACACATAAGGGCAGTTTTGCGGAGAAATATTCTAGGGGTGATTGGAAACGTGGAGAAGACAATGGAGATGCCCGTGCAAAGTTTTCACCAGGCTCCTCCCGTAGATTTGCAGGTACAGGGCGACCCGAGGGGGCCAAAGTGGACCAATGTCACTATTGCAAAGGTGGGGGTCATTGGAAGGAGCAGTGCCCATTGCTGGAAACGAAGGGGAAGCCTCGTGTGTCACCACATGCTCCAGCCATGTGTTGTTCTGCCGTGTTGGTTAAACCGTTGGGTGTAGGATCGGGCATGGTGCCTGATAAGAAGCTGGTTTGTGCCGACTTGGATGTGGGTTCTGTTTTTGGGCCGTTCATAACGGAAGCCGTTGTGTCAATAGTTGGTAGTGACAAGTATGTTCCGATTAAGGTGTTGCGTGACACAGCAGCTAGATACTCATTTATTGTTGAGTCAGTGTTGCCTTTTTCGTCAGAGACAGAGACTGGGGATTTTGTGCTGATGAGGGGAATGGAGATGGGCTTGATTCCTGTGCGACGTCATACAGTAGTGCTGGATTGTGAGCTGGTACGGGGAGTTGTGTCTATCGGCGTGCGTCCCGCATTGCCACTTGATGGGGTACAGATGATTTTGGGCAACGATCTTGCTGGTTGTGTGGTGTGGGCAGGTGTGCCACCGCCTGTGGTGGTTTCCAGACCGTTGGCATCTGTAGAGCCAGATAAGAGTGGTTTGCAATTTCCAAGTGTGTCTCCTTTTTATACTATTACGCGTGTGCAGAGCCGTAGGATATCTACTGACCTACCTGTTTCGGAGTCTGGAAAAAGTGGCCCAACACGGTCCTTTGACTTTCAGATCGAGACAAAGGTGAAGGAGAAGAAAGAGAGGAAACGCCGCAAAGCGAAGAAGAGGAGGCCGAAGAAGAGGAGGCCGAAGGAGGTCAGCGCGCCCAAGAGGCCGATGAGCGCCTACATGCTGTGGCTCAACGCCAGCCAACCCAA